AAAAAAATGATCTGACATGATTATGCATAAATCAGCTTTTTGCTTTCTGCTGAATTCGAAATTCAGTAACAAATATTCATATTTCATTTGGTAAATATGACCTACACTGTAAAAGATAAGTGTAATTTTAACTTGTAAAATTTTGTCAAAACGCTACGGAAAAAAAACTGTTAATAGGTTAACAGTAAGTTCCCGTACTATATACAGGGAAAAACTGTAAAAAATCTAACCAGACATTTCATGTAATTTTACTGTAAAATGCTGTTAATTGTACAGTTTTCCAAGTAGGTATAACTGCAGACCGGAGATCTCCAAAATGGGGCGTGAACTCCAAAAGTGGGCAGAACCTCCAAAATGGGGCGGGGTCTCCTCACGCAAAGACTTTCACCGTTGGCTCTGGCTCCAGCCAATTGTTATTGACTTACATTTCAAAATAAAACTTTATAAATGTAACATTGTTTCTAGTTCATCTAAAATAAAATATGCTATATAAGTAAATATTCTCCGTGAGAGCAGAGCCCAAAGCTCGTGGCCAGTGGTGTTCGGACTGGAGTTTGAACCTCTGCTTCATGATATAAACGGGAATCACCCACGAGCTCTCCCACGAGCCGTCCCAGCGCAGCGCAGGGGAACGATTTTACTCTATCACTTTGTTCTAAGCAACGGGGGCGTCCCGGGGCTCAAAATTCGCAGGGTAGGAGTGGGTAGTGACGCTAAGTGTAACTAAAAAGGTGCCATTGTCCGGTGAGGTCCGGCTGGGGAGTTACGGAACGATCTTATATCGCATAATCTTATTAACTGTTTATCTCCTGAACTGCATCTTTCTTTACCACGCTATTCAGCGCCAATCCCACCGTGCAGTCAATTTCACTGGTTAAGGTTAGAGTCAGGTGTGGGGTAGGTTTAGGGGTTAGCATTTTTTGTAGCATAATGTAGGAAATCAACACTTTAATTGACACAACCAATAAAATCTTTAGAATCAGCTGTGGGGCGGAGTTTGCACTGAAGTGGATTGGGGGAAAAAATTGCGCATGCGTGTCATGTGCCTGTCTGTCAATGGGAGGAAGCCACGCCCTATTTTGGAGCTCCCACCCCGTTTTGGAGTTCCCGCCCCCATTTGGAGATCTCCCTGCTGCAGTTATACCCTTCTCCAGAAAGCTGCCTAGTGATCTCTTGTCATGAGGTTTTAGAGGAGAAGCTGCGCCCTCTGGTGGTCGCATACACCATTAACACTGCCTCATTTCAGAAAAGCCTGAAATGCAACAGCCGTCCATATGAGACACAGCAACTGACATCAGATGTGTTTTCTGCAAAGGTTGTAGCTAAACTCAGGAAAGTGGCTCTTCGGGAGCAGGAAGACCTTTCAAATCATTAAATATTTGTGGCTTCAGAGGGATGATCTGCTTACAGCAGGTGTATCTAAACCTGCTCCTGGAGGACCACCTTAGGCTCAAACTCAAAGGAAATATATTCTATGCTATAGTCTATGCAAACTCAAACGAATCACAGTAATTGATTGGCTGTGGGAGATTAATATTTAATTAGCTGTGTCTGTTCAAGCTGTCTGTGCTTATTATTGATGTTAAATATAGTTATTTGTAGATAATATGGGTTATCTGTTTGTTGTTCTATGTTGTGTTTAATTGGCAATTATGTGGCTCTATAATAAACACGTCTGAATTAGTGTTACCCTTGTAGAGAACAGTGTTCCTTTGAACTACTTGTGATTTGCGGCAGTTTTTTTGGGGGGGTGGGGGAGCATAAATGTTTTTTATATTCTTAATGTCTTTGTGTTGTTAATGAGGTAACTGAGGCAAGCTTTAAGAAATATGAAGGTGTTTTTTCCCTGTTGTCATTTATTTTATTTTTTTTTAGCATTTGCTACTTTTTTACTTTTGTAGTATTAGAACAAACTCTGTGGTGTGGAGGATGATTGCTCGAGTTTGAACATCACCTGCTAATTGTACTTGAAAGTCTGTCTTGAAGTCCCACTAGTAGTGAAGCTTTTCATCACCTTTTCAAACCTCATCTAAACTAAACTCAAAACCCCAGACTCAATGGCTCAGAGGATAAAACAATGTGTTTCAAACATGAAGACCTGAGTTCAAATCCCATTATTGCTTATGCTAAATTGTTGGCATTATATCCAACAAAGTGCCCCAAACACCAACCCTCAGTGTGAAAACTGCAGTGGCGCTAGTGGCTACACACATGTCCTTTGTGTTTAAAGTTGCAACTGAGGCATGGGTTCAAGTCCCACCTCAACATGTCATATGACAATCACACAATTGAAAGCTTGAATTAGTTTATTGTAAACAATGAAATATAAGTTCCTTCACATGTCCCAACAAGAGATCTGTGGCTCACAGTGAATGAAGGGGTGGGGATGGTTTGGGTCCCAGAGCGATATCCAGCAGGGGTTATGCTTTTCAGCCTGAAAAAAAAGCTGTATACATTTTTTCATTCCCTGTCCCTTCCCCACCTACTTAGGTTACCATCATTTGCTTTTTAAAGGAGTGGCCCCTCAAAAAGAAAATGATGGTAACCTACACATGAACTAGTAAACAACACACATTATAAGCATTACCTGTCCATGAGCAGATGTCCATCATTACAGCGAATGTCTGTCCACACGTCCCAGAGCTCTGCTTCTGTTGACTGGATGCTCAAACACATCCTTTATTCTGTAGGGTAAAGACATACATAATTACTCAATATATGTGAATATACAGTAAATGTTAATACATGTAAGTAGATACATATACCCACTGATAGAGTGATACAAACTGGATGAACTGGATCTAATGATTCATAAACCTTGTGCACTACAAAGATAAAAGAGTAATTCTTCATAACCATCAGATTTGCAAAGAAATAAATGTTAAATATAATGTATAAACACACATTCCACACAGCCTGTGTAGAATCTTAATTTATAGAAAGATATAAAAATGTGTACATTCTCCTAAAGCTGTACAGTGTTGAAGAAATATAGCCGAGTATTTAACTGTTCTTCTGTAATGCTGTCTCAGTAATAATATTTGAATATTTGTACTCACATGCTGTTGAAGTCGAGCTTATGGCCTTCTACCTGTCTCTGTGTTTGAGTTTCTGGTTAATATACTGCAGGATACTGGGAAAAAACAAAATAGATGTTTTGTCATATTGACAGGAACGTTGAACTGTCCAAATCTACAGTTCAAACTTTCTGCATTGGATCATCTAGTTACTTGAGACCACTGTAAAGTTTATACACTTAAGAAAGAACAAATTATGTATCAGCATGGACAGATTAAAATATTTACTGAATTTTAAGAATAAATTAAATAAAAAGCACCTGGTCTATCTTTTGTGATAGCAATGTCACTTTAAAAATGACAAGAATGTGCAATATTTTACTGATGAATAAAAAAATAAAAGATTTTAGGGGAAACATAATTAAAAAAGTAGGCGCTTTGTTTAACACCCATGATTATTAAATATATAATAATGTTTGAGAAAAATGCCATGAAAAATATATAATTGTAAATTGTGTCCCTCTTGTGGCTGAAGCATAAAACTACAAGTTAGGGTAAGTGTACCCATTAAGCCCATGTGTCCTTTAAGCCCACTTTCAACTCTGAAGTCAAATTAAACATTTTATGCTGGTCATTATTTTAACTAATCCAGTGATTTGTTACTTCCCTGATATTTTTTTTTATTACATATCAATCACATTTGCCAGTGTTGAGTTAGTCGTGCAGTCTCATGGGACCTCACGCAAAGACACCCAAAAACTTTTCAGCCTTTTCTTTAAGCACATTGAAATTATGTCAAATAACAGATAAATGTATTGTTTTTTTTTGTGTTTGTATGAACAAATAGTACTTTATCATTTTATATAATTTTCCTTTAAATGGAAAGATGAGTTTTATTGGCTTGTACACAAAGCTAATCTCAAGGTAAAACCATTAGCCTTAGTGAAAGATAGACTGCCAAAGAATTAAGCAAGTGAACTTCAAACACTAAATGTTTTGTGATTCATTTTACATTCATTTACAAATAAATGCATCATCAATTTTGTAGAGCAGATTATTTTCATAAATTAACTTTTTTTATTTTTTTAAAGATATTCTTAAAACGTATGCAAACTACAGCCAACACAAGCTAACCTTCAATTAAAAATAAAATTTCTTAATGTGGGCACAACGAACATTACTATAATGCTTAGTCCACAGTATATTTAAGCTCCATGCATATCTTTGTACACATATTTTACATTTTTAAAGGAAAACATAATTTTTTCACAATTACTCAATGTGGAACCATTTAAGTCCACCTTATGTGTTTCAATGAGGAATCCCTCTAATTACAAACTTTGATCGATTTTCTGAGTCAAAGTGTTTAATGATACCAGTTCTTTGTGTGCTTTTACCTTACTAACCTTTTACCTTACCTTACCTTACTTACTACCTTAATTTTCAACTATATTTAGATATGCCTACAAATTACACACTGTGTAGCACCATTATATAATAGATGTCTGCTATATGTATAGTTTTGTTTTCAGCGATACAAAAAAATAAAAAACTACAGCACCTGTGCAAAAATCATAAAGGCATGTCACCTTTACCACGATGGCACAGTAAAAATGTTGGGCTTTGCATATTGTATGTTTTTCATGTTGAATGTTATTAGTACAGGTGATGAGTGCCAGCAAACATTAGTAAATCGCATACAGTCTATGATAAATCACTGAGTATTTACGCCCATTGTTTGGAAACGCCCGCCGGCACAACAGGGTGGGGCTAATTTTTGTGGGCGGGGCTACACATGTCGCTCCGCCCAATAACTACTCTCATTGGCTCAGTTTGGTTGGTGAAGGCCTGCTGTGCAGTATTACAAAACCTTAATTATAAACTTATTTAGGAAAACGAAACGTGAGCTGTCATTGAGGCTATATGCACAAACATCCAATGAATCTATAACATTTTAACATTTAATAATTCATTTAATTTCTCTCGGGTTTTTGAGGCGATTTTTTTTCTGTACATTATAATGAATGCTTTGTGAAACTGTACAGCTTTTACAGTGCACATAATTTGTTCACTGTATTGTATACGACGACCGAGCTTACAATACGACTTGTGTGGGTGGTAAAAAAAAGGCGCTATTTTCCATCCGCTCCACTAGGCGGCGTCAGCGAGCCTCACACCATTAGATGCTTGACAACGACGCTTGATCACATTCATGTCGTTTAATGCCATGAAAGTACAGATTCTGCAGATGACAGCTCAATGACAGACTATTAATGTCTCTCAATTACAGCCCGTCAGCAAACAAAACCGACACAAACTGCGGTAAAGTGCAGGAATCGAGTGTAACGCGACTCACCTGTAAGTAACTTTCCGCGTATGAAGTGATTGAAGTCCTCAGTCCTTATTTCATTATTAAAGTACTTATTAAGTACTTATTCTGTATTAAATGTTGTATTGATGTAGTTGTGTTTCCACGCTGGAAACGTTGCTCTCCTCTGCGGCGGAATGACAGTGAGGGCGGATCGTTCAGTCGTGATGCTACACATGGATCTGTTGTGTTTCTTCTGCTTGAAGATTATAAAAATACGTCTAATTATCATAAACTTAAGTCCAAACCACTGAGAATACATATTATAACATGCTTCAAGTGTACTGAATTGATTAGCCTAATTAAGGTCACCTGTAAAAAAAAAAAAAAAAAACTAGAACTCACTAGAATTCTTTAAACATACTACAATTATTGTTAACGCTTGTTAACAATTATTAACCCTTGTATGGTGTTCAGGACCCGTTTTAATTTTTTTTCAAAAGAAAAATTATACTATTAATTTTTTTTTCAAACTCGGACTCATTGGCCTTGTCTTTATGACCCGGGGGTAATAAAAGAGAAATTTTAGGTCCCGTGTACCTTCACTCTGTCCTCCAACTGTCTGGGGCTGCTATTAGTATGTGAATGTATGTTTATGTGTGTGTGTGTGAGAGAGAGACTTTAAGAGTGTAAGTGTGAGTTTTGTGTTTCTGCCCCTGCCATTTCCGCACAAGGTTGTAGCACTTTAATTCATAAATGTGATCTAACAAAGGTAAAGGGCAAATATCAACCATATATACTGTTTATATTGCTTGTAATTGGGATGAAGTAAACATCTGTTGAGTATTTTAACATAATTTTTTTAATTGTGTTGAATTAAAAACCCCAAAATGCAGTGGGTCCACCAGAACCACGAACACTGGCTGATAGGGATGGGCGTATCGATCCGAAGTATCGATATATCGATACTGATGCGAGTATCGAAAGTATCGATACTCAAACAATAAATATCGATACTAAGGTGTGTTTTATTTACCAGGGATTTTGTTTATTTAAGGCTAAAACTATGCATTGAATTGGACGAATAACCTTTGTTAGCGAATAATTGTGTAGGATAGAACTATTTTCCTGCCCATCTGAACACATGCAAATGTTGCAAGACAGAA